AGAATGCCATCCACCCTCTCAGCTTCTACTACTTCTACAGTAGTTTCACTGGCTGTGTATCTAATCCTGACTAATCCTGGCATCAAGCCATAGCTTTTCCGGTAGATGAGATGGACAGCTGAACCACATACTGCGATAAAAAGAAAAGTAGATGCTTTTACTCCTCCATCTGACACAAACCGGATTAATGAAGTGCTAAATGAATGGAAATATTTGCTTATAAAAAGAGCAAATTATTTAAACTTATTGCTATTTATCAAAGTATAAAGATGTGCCCTTCCTCTCTTTTCCTCTCTTCAGATTTATTCCTTCTGACAGAAAAAAAAAGTCACAGGAAAACTAAAGTTTTCAAAAACTGAGTAAGTCTATCATAAAAGCTCCACTAGTGAAGTCTTTCAACAGAATTAGAGATCTGGATATCTAGACCATGATTTAGCCCATACAAGCAACATACGCTTTACCCTCAAACATGACTGGATTTCTACTAGTTATCAAATCAACAAACCTTTGTAGCTGCAAAATACCAGCCTTAATACTGAATTCACATTGCAATTTGTGCTTTGTGTTAATAAATTAATTTCCCATAAAGCTAAAGATCAAAGATTTGACAGCCCACTGAACTCCAGAGTTTAGGATTAAATTATTGCAAGTAGTTTGGAAAGAGTTATCTAAGGCAAGGAAGTACTAGGACTCAGCTCTTCCTGTAAGTTGCTCAGCCTTTATTTTTAGTTTTCAATTGTCAATATTTTTTCCCTTTTGTAAAGGAAGTGTAAAGAACTTGCAGTACTTGAAGTTAAATTACTTTATTTACAGGTCCAGTACGATACAGACAGGACTGATGATGCTATGCAGCATACAGACAAGTTCAGCCCCTCCAGCTGGTATGACCTCTAAGAAAAAGAATAAATGCCAATCCTAGATTTAGTCATTGAAGTTGCCACAGGTTTGTTGATCTCATACTACCTGAAAAGCTGCCGGAGAACTCAGCACCTTGGGGAAGGTACATGCCGCTTTTCCACTTAAACTTTTAATGCTACTTCCAGATCAAGTCTTTGTGGAGTCACTTTGTCGTGTACAACAGCACTCCCTGTAAAAATAGCAACTAAATGCTTCCTTTACCAAAGTGCACAGGAACAGAGAAGGGGATTAATCTGGCCCCGCTAAATTAAAAAAGCCACTTTGTTTCACCTGAAGACCATAAAGACTTCAACACAAATCCTATCCAAGCACACAAAATCAATTCATAGATTAAATCTGTCACGTGTTTTATGAATATCAGGCTATAGCAAAGGTACTAATGCCATACTTGATCCCTATCCTGAGCTACTGCTTGCAGAAAAAAAACCCTGAAGAAACCTTGTATTTTGAAACTGTTAAATAAATGAGAGGGAAAGGTGGTTATAACAAAACCAAAACTTAATATTTAAACAGGAAATATGCCTTGACTGTATTTAACGCTTTCATTAAAACTACAGCCTACACAAAGTCAACACTTCATGAAGGAGCACACCAGGGCAGAAGGCTCTAACAGACAAACACATCTCTGGTAGATGATGTCAAATGCTCAAGTACTTAGAATTTTCTTGTGTAATTATAGAGGTGACATCTGTTCTGCCAAAAACTGTGTAAGCATGTGAGTACCTCAAGTAGACCTGAAACTCGCCCTTAAAATACCAGGTCCTGCTAAGCAGCACTGCTAGCCTACCTGTACAGGTCACTAAGGCAGCTCTGGACAGCAACCAAGTTAGACCATACTGACCTCCTGGCTTTAGCAGCTCAACTGTTGCAGATATGAAAGCAGTGAGCCCACTTCAACAGAATTTCCTAGTGCCTGCAAAAGATTTCTACAATTTTTTTTTTTAAAATAAGACATAGTTAAACTACAGTTTATAGAACTATTACTTTTCAGGCTTATCTTTTAAGAATGATGATGCAAACTCTGGAAGAAAGGCTCATACAACTGCTCTAAAATTCTGCAGTTCCAGTAAACCTGAAAAAGTTTAATGTGATTGAATTGTGTTATTGTGAGCCTACTAAATTACAGTTTCTGTTGTAAAGAATCAACCTTTTCCCCTCCCAAATCATTAAGTGAAAGCCCCTGTAATGTTTTAAACAGTTCCAGCTAACACTTCAAATTGTGCACAGGGAATGCAACAATACTCCCTGTCTTTTTAACGTTATTTTTTACTGATACTAATTAAGGAAAATAAAGAGATATATATGTATATATGAGCACAAAGTCAGCAGTATCAAGAACAGATTCACACCTGGAGTGACATGAAAATGGCCACTGGGGCCATGACTGGGTACTGGAACATGAACAAACAGGTAAGCACGGAGTAAGGGGAGGATGAACAGTGACTACCACCGACTAGCACAGAGAAGCCTTTAATTACCAGATGCTCATTAAGCAGGTTTGAGAGCCTTTCAAGGTTGGAAAGTTAAATTTGCAGAAAGCAAACACCTGCTGGGCCCAGACAGTGACCAACTCTGAGATACTTTCAGGCCAAATTCCTTATTTGGATTCCTGTTTATCCTGGTCTGCACACCCCTTGGATTCCTATTTAAGATCACATTGAAACAAGAGAAACAAATAGGCTTGTTAGTCCCTTACATTAGTAGCCTTTTGCCTATCAACTTCATTTTCATCATCTCAGCACTGCAAAATTCAGTTTGTATTTGCTGCCCAGGAATGCACAAGGACAACAGGAATATGTAAAGTTAATGCACAGACTGTACACATATTGCACAGGAGTGTAAGGAGAATTGTTCTGAAGGCCATTAAATTCCAACAACATTTATTTTACCATGTCCTTTATTTTCAGCAGTTGTGCATGTTACTCAGATGACTCATTCTGTATTTTTACTACAAGTATTCAAGATGTAGGTAAGATGAAGCACACAAATGCCTGTTGAATCTGAAGCCTCATCCTGTAAGTTGACATTTCCACACTATCTTTCTATTAATGTGTTAATTCTTGTTAAAAATAAAAACCTAGAACACATGATAGCAGAATGATACTGAAACAATAGTCACATGAAAATAGTTTCTCCACTTGGATTTCCTTAAACATCAGACAAAAGACCGCCATCTACTGTTGACATAACTTCAGTCTTTTAGTACGTATTTTGCATGGTAACAGGCAATACTATTTTACATCACTACCAAAAGAGTGAAGACCTACCAGCCCTCCATTCTATGAAATCACTCTGAAGGATAAAATTCACTGTTCCCATAGCCTAAAGCAATGTGTCTACAAGAGATTAATTCCCCCATATTACTGCATGCCACAGGACGTATACCTTAACGGTTGTATAATTTATCATTCTTGCCAGACACCTGTTTAATTATTTGTGCTTAAAACTTACATCGCTTCGCTTGAGGTAACGCTCTGTTTTGTTTTCTTTATACAGCTGCAAGTACCTTCTGTTTTCTCTCCCTTGCATACCCCTCTCTTATGCTGCTTATGAGTAAAAAAAGTCAACACAGGTAGGCTGCAGACAGATAGGAAACCAGACACAGAACATGCTTTGTCCTTAGGGAAGTAAACCAGACAGGAGACCTAGAACAGCACATCCCCTACAGATTGAGACATTTGTAGTGGAGCCACTAGACCACACCAAATAGCAAGAACTGCACTCATTTCATTCTATGTCCCATCATTTGCCTGCTGCCTTTAGCTATAACACAGGGAGTATCACTGCAATTCAAAGAGGGTTACTGACAATGTATTCACCACTGGCCGCCCTGCCTACAGCAGCCAGAGGCAAGAGTTTAAAGAAAAGAGTACTTAATGCACTGACATGCTGCGTGAGGAAAATAGACTGGATGTAGGCACTAGTTTTCCTTTTTAATTCAGTCAGTGAAGCCATGTCAGAACCTACATGGATATGCAATATTGACATCTTGGAGGTGTATTAAAAGTAAAAAGAATCACTGGGACCTGAAATAGAACTGAGAGGTATTACTGGGCTACCTCACTCCTGTGGTGAGGTATTTAGATCCTAGTATGGTGCCCGTTAGTAATTTTACACAGAGAAGATGCTATATATCACTGTAGCTGTATCTGGTTCCAGTTAAAATGGAACCAAACAGATCATTGTGATGAACTCTGCAAGAAGAAAATAAGTTTCTTTTAAAAAAATGGAAGTGATAAGGGCTTAGTAAATAAACTCACCATAAATTCACTCTAGGCAAGTCAGATCACTTGCGACAAAGCAACAAGCCTCTTTTCTTTGGAAAGTGCCTCAGTAAGTCACTCCATAAGCACAAGATAAAATTAAAACCTTAAATTCATAAACCATATGATCTAAACCAACATCCTTAGGTTAGGTTGTGGCTGGGTTCTCTTGCTCCACTGTCATCTAAGAACTCAAACCCTGCCATTCCCGCTTGTTCAAAGGTGTGGGGGAGAAGAAAAACACTACACGCACTCTCCCATCTGTAAAACCTGAATAATTTATTCAGATAAACCTTGAGAAATCTTTCAAACATCACAGTATGTTAGTGTACAACTAATGACAACCTCAGAAATCACATTATTGGTGCAAAGCATAAATTTAATGCCAAGTGCCACAAGATGGTTTTTCACTACTTCAAAGCAGCATATGGTTGACAATAAACTTGTAAATATTACCAGGATTAAGAACTGCATTTAATTTGTATTTAGTTTTGAAAAACTCTGGATTGCTAGGAAACAATCTCTGTCTGAAGACTGTCATAATTAAAAATATTCTGGCTGAATTAACACAATTCAGCAGTGTATTTTTAAGAGAACTGTGTGTCTTCAGTTTCCACGGAAGTATTAGTATCTTCCACAAAAGAAGTGCATGATGGTATCACAGCACACAATAAAATCAGAGACTTGTTTTGAGTCTCTGTTTTCCTGGTAACAATATTTAACTATTTTTAAAATTTAGTTTTAAAACAGGTATCCACTATTGGTTTTCAGAGATCTTATTACAGGGTATTAACCTTCTGGGAGAGGGGCATATTTTCCTCAGGATTCATGCTTTTTTGTTGGTTTATCAAAGTAAGGAGTGTTGTCCTGTAGCAGATCTTTCCTGGGTACGAGCACTGTAATAGAAAAACAACAAACAAACAAACACCAAACTTCTAAAAATATAATCTTATGGAAAATACTATTTACAATTCTAAAGTTTTTACACAATTTTAACCTCTTCCCAACTTTAAGTTCTTGCCATCTAGCTCTTCAGAAATCAGCTTGTCCTTTCTTCGTGAAGGAAATGAGCTTTGTCATGTCAGATTTGGTCCAGCAACAAAAACTAAGGCACAAACACCTGAAATCATAATGCTGTACTTTGACTAGGTCAGACCACTGTGAAAGGTACAGTAAAACATTATAACTGTGTGTGTTTCTGTGCACGTGTGTAATAAATAAAATTCTGTCCAAACTGCACTGATATCCCTTATCTTATAAGAAAGAAAACTGATTTCCTTGAAGGTATGTTCCTTTTGCACCTGTGTACATTTAACAGGCTTCTACGAGCCTTAAGTAAAATTTCAATTGCATTTCTCTTAAATAAAATACTTGTGATTAAGTTTATGACAAAACATGTTGATCTACACACCTGGAACAGGTAGATGAAACAGAAACACCAAAAAAAAAACCCCAACCCAGAACTGGACATAAAGTATTGAAAAACTGAAGTCCAAACAAATAAAGATTGAAAAAAGGATTTTTAACTTTCCTTTTCAAAGCTAAGTTTTAAACATAGCCAATACGCCAAATCAGAATCATCAGAACATACTGCACATGTGGTACATTACAAAATGTAAGTATTGCTTGTATCAGCTTAATCTGAAATTAAAAGTGAAATAAATGGAACAGAGACATTTGTATACTACTAATGTAACTCAGACTGAAACATTAAAAAAAAAAAAATCAGAAAAAATGTCTAATATGACTAACAAGCTCCTAATTGAAATTGTCTTCTTTTTAGTAAGAAAACCTCTGCCTAATTTCTTTTTTTCAAAAAGACTTACCAGAGAATCCCAACATGACTATACACCAGTGCATCTCAAATTCTTTCTTTTTAAAGAATAACATTGCCCTGCGCATTGCTTCTACCACAGCACAGCATCGTTTTATTTGATTAGGGAAAATGTTCCCCTTACCAATATTTGTTCTCACCATCTAAGAAAAGTCTTTGGCTTTTTCTTTTCAGTTATTAAATAGTTAGAGATACAGGACTGCAAAAAAAACAATAGAAGAGAAAAGAAAAACACCAGGTGTAGCTACAATGTATATTGCCAGCTCTAATACAAAAAGTTAAGAGTCAAAAATCGTGACAGTAACTCACTTCAGGAAACCAGCTGCAGCAGTAGGTTTCTGATACATTTTACCTAGTTTCTTTTCTCCCTGCTCTTTCATACAGTGTAGCAACTGATCACTTCAATCTTTTTTTTGGGCAGGGGCAAGGGGCAGGAATAGCTTGGGATGAAGCAAGGACATTATACTAATTCAAATACATCCCAAATGTAAGTATTCTATAACAGTTTTTTTTTTTTTCCCCAAATAGGCCAATATACTATCTATTACAGCAAAGTAAACCTTCACCTAACAAAGTTTCCAAAACAAATATGTAGCATCTAAGATGAAGCACTATGAAAATAAAGTTTTCGCCTTATTTTTATTTGTCAACAAACAGCAACTCAAGCAGCCACATTAGGGCTGTACTTCCACTTTTTTTTTTTGTCTGTGTGTGTGTGTGTGTGTTAATAAATCTGTCCCAAGCCTCTGATTTAATACAAGATGATATCATAAAAGCAACAAGGGAGTTAACTGTAATTCTATTGGCATTACAAAAGTTACCACTGAGCATGAAGATTAAGGATCAAAAAGGTTGATTTTGTTCTGCTAAAACTTCCTTAATCAAAGCTGTACTGGAATTGAATACCTGTTCAATGTGCTACCTAAGCAGACTCATATACCAATGCAGGCATTTCCTACAACCAACTTTGTGCTAAAAACTGGCTCCTACGTGCCACAAAGCAAAGGAAAGTGAAAAGATCCCCTTGGTATTTTCAGCATATACGTGCACAAGACTTTTGGAAGGGACACAGCTGACCCCAATTGACCAAAGAGCTATTTCATACCACTTGACATCATGCTCAGCAATAAAAGCTGTGAGAAGAAGGAAGGGGGCACATTTGCAGGGATGGAGTTCGTCTTCCCAGGTAACTGTTATGCGTGACAGAGCCCTGCTTTTCTGGAGATGGTTCTAAACACCTGCCTGCCGATGGGAAGCAGTGAATGAATTCCTTGTTTTGCTCTGCTTGCCTGCATACCTTTTTCTTCACCTATTAAGTTGTTTTTATCTCATCCCATGTGCTTCCTTACTTTTATCTTTCCAATTCTTTCCCCCATCCCACTGCAAAGGGAGTGCGCAAGTGGCTGTGTGGGGTATAGTTGCTGGCTGGGGTTAAACCATGACACCACCTAGGCATAGACTCAACTGGAAGCTGAAGTCCCACTTCCAATTTCCTCTTTTTAATCTCAGATAACTTTTGCTAACAAACAGGAAAGGATGAAAACAGTAGAGCAAGATATGCAACAAAACGGAGCGGCAGTGGAAACCACACCCATTTATAGGTACAATTTCACACAATGCACCGATCGTGCTATTCAGCATAAACTACAATCAAAATATGGTGACAATTATCTCAACTCTCTAAAATTTCTGAGTTTCTGGATTCAAAAATTTTCTAATGGCATACTCTGTGCTACCAGTGACATTAACAATATAATAAGAGCTATACCAGAATCTGACTAACCAAAGCTGAAGTCTTAGGAAAGGTGCAAACACACTAGAAGCCTGCTCTAAGAATGCCATTTAGGAATCAAGTGCTGTTACTGACCAATTTACCATGGTATAAAGGTAAATATTCTTTTTGTAAGGAGATTTGCTTTTACTCTTTCACTACAGTATCAAGCTAAGCATCAAGTTTGATCTGCTTTTTTGTATTTTGAGTAACATGTTGCTCCTGGCCACAGAGATTTTTCATTGCCATGGCCTTTAAGAATTATTTATTGTGCAAAATAAAAATGTGGTTATTTTGGTATTAGCTTTGAATGTAAATTCCAACTTCACTGAATGCTCTTTACATTTTAATTATACCAGGACAAGTAATAATATCTATCCATTCTATACACTTTTATATACTGGTCATTTTTATTCCTTGGACATACATCATGATGGTCTGGATTTTTTTCTAAGCATTCCTGGTCTTTTAATTGGCAATTCAATACATTATCAAGACTAAATATTTCTCACTTCAATATATATTCCAAACACACACAAACCAGACAGCTCTCAAACTGTGATGGCTGTTTCAAGATTACTGTTTTGTTCTTCCCGCAGTAAGATCAATTACAGAGTAAAAAGAAAAGCTCAGACCTATCCAAAACAAACACAGAAAAAAAAGAAAATAGAAAAAAAAGAATGGGCAAGAGACTGCATAATGACATCACTTGCATTCATAAGCAGGTCAAATGCACCCTGTGTACAGATGCACTCCAGATTTTTTGCTGAAGGACAAAGTCTTCCTGGCCAGTACTAGACTCTGGAAGACCTCCCTCTTCCACACAAAGTTCATTGCCACCATTTCTGTAAGAAGTCTGTAGAATTAGGTGGCAGCAATTCTACCACGTTTTGCTTACGGAGATTTTAAAGGAGGTGACATTAAAGTTCTGCTACAGTCAAAACAGACTATCACCACTACTCTCCCCTTGCTGCTGAGTCAAGTCTTTTCATTGTAAAAGCGTATCAGATTGGTCAAAGGAGATTTCCACTTCATAAATCCTTGCTGTCTACTCCCAGTCCCGACTTCATTTTTAGAACATCTGGAAACAGCTTCCAGGATTGGCTCAACCACCTTCCCAGAGATCCAGGTGAGGCTAACCAGTTTCCCAGATCCTCTCTCTTGTCCTTCGAGGGACAAAATAGGAGCAACATTTGTTATCTTCCAGTTCTCAGGCAACTCCCCTAACCACCATGACCTCTCAAAGATGATTGAGAGTGGCCTCGCCATGACACCAACCAGCTCCCTCACCACCCATGGGTGTATCACGTTAGGGCCCATGGATTTGTGTATGCCCCATCTGTTCAAGTGTTTCCTAGCCTTTTACTTCTCTACCAGAAGTAATTCATATGCTTCACATATTCCCCGTGATCAGAGTCCTGCGATTTGTGAAGCCGAACCTTAGCAGTAAAGACTGAGGTGGAGAAGGTACCAAGCACCTCAGTCTCTTCCCCATTCTTTGTTACCAGGTTCCCTGACCTATTCAGCTTTGGGCCCATATTTTCCCTTCTCTTCCTTCTGCTGTTGATATATCCGTATAAGCTTGCTGTCCTTCATGTTCCTTGCCAAGATCAACTCCAGGTGGGCTCTGGCTGTCCTAACCCCATCCCTACACACTCACACAGTATTCAAATATAAATTTGTATTTGAACACAAATTCATGTGGCTTTTGCAACAGAAGTTCTCCATATTTCCTTGCTGGAGTTCTCTGAACAACTCTTGGGGTGCTGCCACAATATGCTTGGATTCCCAAAAGTCCCTCAGCTAAGACTTTTAAGCACGCACCAGCCTTATTATGACAGAAGGTCTTGCATGGATAAGTCACTGGTTAAATTGTAGGAAGTGAACAATAAATGAACAGGTCTCCCGATGGAGGCATGTCAAAAGTAGAGTTCTACAGGTATTTTTGTTGGCATCTGTTCTGTTCAACATATTTGTAAGTAACCTGGAAAAGAATGTTTTTTAATTATATCATCCTGAATAATTTGTTTAATAAAATGGCTTACTGTGAAGAATTGCAGGACAAGCTCAAGACAGTAAAATGACAGAAAAAATTACATGTAGAGACATGCAACGCATACAGGTAAAAAACCCACTAACTTCACAAAGGAAGTGATAGGTTCAAAACTGACGACCATTCAGATGATTTTAAGGAATACAAGATAATCTTTTAAAATAAATAAATATATGTACGCATAGCAGCCAAAAATTAAATTTAGAATTAGGAATTACTATGAAACCAATTAAGAACGAAAGAGAAAACATTGTGCCATTGTTGTGTGTATAAATGCCTGGCTTGCCCATAGCTTGATGACTGTGCTCAGCTCTGAGGGACAGCTCTTAATAATGTTAAGAGAAATGTAGTAGAATTGAAAAGAGTGCAGAGAATAGCAACAGAATGATCACAGGCATTCATCTCTTGTTTCACAGAGAAGCTGGGGGAAAAAAAAACAAAAAAAGGGTGCAATAAGGGGCTTAAAAATTCATGAACAGGTCGGTGAAAATGGATAGTAATTGAAGAGTAGGACCAGATTGAAAAGTTCAGCAAGTGATTCTTCATAAAAACCAGTAAATTCTTTGTCAAAGGTTCTTGGATGCAAGAAATATGCACAGGTTGACAAGAACAAGTTCATGAGAGGGAAACCCACGGAGGATAACTAAAACAGAAACCATCCCTGGCTCAGGTAGTGCTGCCAGGTGTAAACAACTGGAAGATGCGAAAGTTCACTTGCTCTGTTCCTACTCTCCTACTGTCATCTGCCTAGGATCACTGTGGAAGACTTGACACTGGTCTAGACATATCTTTGGCCTTGATCATAACGGCTGTTCTAAAGTTAAATGCTGTACCAAATCTGAAACTAAAACTACAGACACCACTAAGCAGAAGTGAAAAGAAACAATGTACACAGCTGAAGATTTCTCCTATTGTCTATCACAGTTGTAGGCTGAACCTCTACTTCTGTTGTGTTTGACTGTAAGATAAAAGAACTTCTAAACCAGGAACCAAAATTTCAGAATTTGTAGGCTTTGCATCAAGGCCCTCATTGTGTCACAAATCTTCCAAGGCATAATCCGAAACCTAAATTGTCAGAACGAGGTTTTAAAAAAGAACACTCAATCCTCAAAGAAAAAGCTATTCTATGGACAGCGTACTTGTCATAGTTTGAGGTAAAACAGAACCAATTTTCTGTTCAGTAATTTTACTTTGCACCTAAGCCTTTCTAACTAATGGAACTCTCTCAAATTAACAGCATATTGTCCAGGCACTGTTTGCCCCAGAGTGACTAAGACCTATGTTTATAGTTTATACCAGGGAATGGTAAGCAGTATTGCTTATACTTAGTGCTGTAACAACCAAGGTCAGCTAAATTTGTTATATGCCCCATTGGAAGGTCAGAAGCAGAAAAGCGTAGAGGGGTCACACCTGTGGGGAGGAGTGGACAGGACAGGTGACCTCAAACTGACCAACAGGGTATTCCATCCCATCTCCCTCATGCTCAGTATGGAAGGTGAAGGATCAAAGGGTCAGCCCTGTTTTCTTCAATGGCTGGTGTCTGAGGAGGACTCTGACTGTTTGTCTGTCTTTGATCCAACCTGTGCATTCCTGAATCCAGGTCTAGAATCCAGTTCCCATCTGTCACCGAATCCAATCTGGGACTTTCCCAGTGCCTGCCAGTGAATTTAGAGTCATCCTGGGAGCTTGGTATGGTTTTGTATATATTGTACATATTTGATTTAAGCAGTTTAGTTAGCAGTCTCCTAAACTCATAAGCCTCTTTCTCTCTCTTATTCCTCTCCCTGATGGGAGATGAAAGGAGAGAGGTCAGAGAGCATCTGTTGTTCATTTCAGTGGCCAGTCCAGACCAAACCATGCCAGCATTATTGCATCTGCTAAATCTACTCAGGCAGCTTCTACCTATTTGGTAGAGTAAGTACCTACAGATACTGCAACTATTACATTTAGACATACATTGACTGATTAGCCAGTACATGCATGCTGACCTGTTACCGAATTGCCGTCACTCCTAATAATTAAGGTACCAAGTTAAAACTTCTTTCTTTCAATAAGGGCATTAAATGCAGTCACTGCCTCTTTTCTACCAGCCTCCATATATCAAAATATTTTTGTAGAAACTTTGTACCTTTGAAATCTCCACCTGTTCTAGGTAGTGGCAGTGGGCTTAAATCAAGAGTTCAGGCAGAGAAATGACAGACAGACACTTGTGCCGTCTCTATCCCTTTACTTAGTTTTCAAGTTTTATATTTATTTACTGAACTATAACATTTTTAAACATCTTTTTAGCATGCAGCTTTACTCACATATTTTGTTGGAATCGGTGTGAACTGCCTGAATAACAGAAGTTCTAAGAATCACTTCAACATCTGATGCTATTTTCAGAAGCTAATAAAAGGAAAAAAGAAAACAAACAAAACAACAGAGTAAGTTAAACTATATGTAATTATTCCTGTGTTATTTTCCATTCTAGACAGCTATTCCAATAACAAAAGTCAGTAGGTTCTATTATTCAGTTAATTATGCACTATATATAAGTAGCTTTTACTTTGGGGATTCTGTAGTAACTTACAGGTCGATACCTTGAACATACAGCACAAAAGAAACGAAAATTCTGGTCGGTAACACAGAGCAGTATAAAATCTATATACTCAAATAAAACTGCAAATGAATACAGTGGAATGCAACTACCAAAACAAGTAACTAGTTCCAATGATCGAAGACATTGCTGAATGTCTCAGTAACATTTGACTACCACTAGTGAAAAGACAATCTGGTTCTTGTAACATTTCTGCTCTTGAAATAAGGAGACAAAAATAAGGGCAAAACATGACAAAAATTAAGAATACTGAGGTTTCACAGAAAAGCAATACAGGAACAAGGCATTACCTAAAGATTATCAGAGGCACTAATATTTGGCAAAAGGCCTAGAATTCCTTCCCTCATTAAAAGGATAAGCAGGAGCACTTTTGCTGAATGATTAAGAGACGCTTAATACTTGTTTGCATGATACCTGTGTGAGAAATAAATGAAATTGCACGAGTGAGACACTTCGGGAGACATACTTACACTAGGAAGTAGTGTGTACCAACAGAAGTGGATCTACACTGAATTTCTCTGCCCCCCTTTCCCTTTTAAGGGTCTGGACTAGGTATCCTCCCGTTCCCCCTGCTGAATGACCATTAGCAGCTAGGCTGCATGCTCCTGAAGCACACCTTTCACTTCAGATTCATCTTAAAGGAATTCTGCTATTTGCTCTGAGAATGCTTCACAAAACAAGCACAATCATATCAAGTGGAGATAAACAACGTAACTTCAGAAGCGCAGTCCTGGTCTGAACTAAAATGCTGCAGTAGATTCAGCTGCCACATCTCACATTCTAATACTGCAGATAGTTACTCCTACCTCCTCAGGTCACTCCATAACTAAGTGTTTGATGTCATATTAGGAGACATTGCAGCTTTCTATTATAGCAAAGTAATGCACATTTGGTTGGCTGATATTCATTTTTTTAGCTGCTGTCCAAAGCAGAACACTAACACCCCCACGTTTATGCAAGCAAGTGCCCAAATTCTCACATATCATTTGATTTAGCTGCTCTGTATCTGAGTCTATTCAGTATATACATATATAAGTATATATAATAAATATGACAGCTTCTATGATGTTCTAGGATTATGTAGTTGTGATGAAAGTCTAGAATTTATTCCAGTGACACATTTAACTAACCCATATTAAAAAGTTACATGTGTGTATTTTGTAGGTTGCCTTTCCTAAAAAATATAGATTTAAAAATTACAACAAGTATTCTTCCTATAACAAAAAGAACATACAATCCAACAGATCAGGCACGGGGAACATAAACACAGAAGTATTACTATTGGGGCTTGGCAAGAAGCAGAAAGGCTAGAAAGTCCTAACTAATGCTCAGAACTATTTATGTTACTGTCCAGTGGCTGGTATGATGCAAAGGTTTAGATTTCCTTCAGCAAAGGACAAGTTTCTTCCAACTAGTGCCCAATGACAACGTAAATACAGTCTGTTAAAAGGCTGAGTGACAAGAACTAAATTATCCATTCTGTATGGAAGTTAAGAAACAAAAATATCTAAAATATAGAAGTTTCATTTCAGGTCTCAAATTTTACAAAAAATGACTCAGTAAAAAGTGTTAAGATAACAACTGAGCAAAGATAACTTATATAGTGAGTTAACAGAATGTTCTACTCCTTTAACTGACAGTAACTGAGCCGATTATGCAAATTCTCTGTATCTTTCCATGTCTGTCTATACAACGAAGATCAGATAAAGTTAAGTCACCACGGTTTAGATAGATATTACAAGTAAAGTATACAAAATATCTACATGAAAATATCAACATAAAACGTTTTTTTTCCATAATTGTATTATAAGCTTCAAAATAAGCATGCTGAACTACCAGAAGACACTTTCTCCTTACGTATTTTTGTATGTGCAAAATTCTTTAACATACTATTAATACCAGAGGAGGTATCAATATATTTATAAACAAAGATCCATGTAAAAGCCTTTCAGACTCACCTGGCTCTCACAGTGTCTCAATAAGTACTTACATTGATTTAGAGACCCTTTAAGTAAAAAGCTCCTTTTTAAGTATTCTTATGCAAAGTGGAAAAAAACCAATGAAAACAAGAAGTACCTCATTTATCTTCTCTTCAGATCTCTCATCTTGGTTATTTTTGAATTCTTCATTTATCTTTTGTCTTGCAGCTAAATTAAGAAAACAAAAAAAACTAAGGTGTGAACAAAATATCTATGTTGTCTTTGTCACTGCCTCAAAGCTCAGAATCCTAACTCCTTTACGGCACCTTCCTGGTGCACTCTGCCTGAAGTATTCTGACATAAGATTTCCATGGAGTTCAGGTAATGTTATATTTTGACAGGTATAGGAATACAATATGATTGCCTATCTAGCATTCTGAGCTTTAAAAATAACTAACATACAGAAGCCAATACTAACAGTTGGTTTACTAAAAAAGCAGCATTTATCTCCTGAGGAGCAAGCATACATAAAGAGAATCAACTCACATGTTTAATACAGTTGAACACGCTTTGGCTGGACTGAAGAGAGAAAGTTAAAAAAAACCCCCACCAAACCAGCAAGGAAGATCGCAAGGTTCCAAAAGAGATGTTTTCCGTATGAAATATGGCTTCAGTGCTCACAGTCTAACAACCAGTTGTTTCAAATTAAAGGATGTCTGGTTATAGACACAGAAGTTTTCCCAATGATTACTTATAAAATGTGGAAGGAAATAATTTAAAGGAAGATTATGTTAAGAATTCTCTTTCTGTGTATTCAGAGAAGAAAGTTCCACAGAATAATAGGTAAGCATCCACCACACAAAAAAGTATCTCACCTTCAAGGGCTCTGGTATCATTTTTAAAAACTTCCTGTCGGGTTCTGTGTAATGACTTAAAAAGCTTCAAAACCTGTCAATACAACATCAATAGAATTAGCTTGTTTGCTAGCAGGACCCTTAGTTAAAATGAACATGTTGCAATTAAGAGCGTTCTGGTTGATCTTTCGTGTTCTTCCTATTTAGTACAGAATTTGATACGGAATCAGTATCTAAGATACTTTTCCTCAATTCCTGATCAAGTAACTTGCAGCCAAAGCAGGTGTGAGGAAATCAAAATCCTAGACAGTTCTAAACGTTTAAAATTAATCTAAAATGCTAGAGAGTACTAGCACTACACTCCTAAATAATAATTTGGCATGACAAGAATATAATCCTAAAAAATACATTGATGCAAACATATTTATTATGCCAATAACAAATAAATCCAACAGAATCAGAATAACTCCAAAAGTCAAGTCAACCAAAGGGTTATCAAAGGGCACATCACTGGATATTCTCTGATTACAAAAAAAAGAAATATAAATAGCTAAAGTATTCTTACACTCACAAGCAAATATGAGAAAGAAAATTTCAAAAGGATCTCAAACTCTATATTCTCTAATTCACCAATTATTTTTCATGTCTCTGTATAATACCCAGGCAAAACCCCTGAGAATCACAGCTCTCAATCACATGATTTTGGCTGTTTGTTCATATAGACTGTAATGAACTACAGAAATCCTGAAGTCCTATTCAGACTTTTCTACTGCTTGTCAGAGATTAACAAGAATCTCTGACAAGCATTAAAAAAAAAAAATCTTGATAATGAGATACCTTTTGAAGTTATTTCTACTACTTCCTAGTGTGTTTTGGCATCTCTAGAAGGCACAATTCCAGATACTTCATGAAATCTTAAGGTGTTTTTTCATAATTAATACTCCAAAAATTTCTTAGAATGCAGAAGAAACACGGTTGTAATTGAGAAATTACTATCTTCTTTATCAGTACGCTTTGTAACTGTGCAGCAGGAGATGCAAACAAGACTGTCCGCTAAAAGTATAAGGCAAATAAAAACATCCTGGCAGGATGCTGAAAAAGTGTTGCCTCTGCTTTAAATCTGTCAAAGGCAGAGAGAGAAATGGCAAGCTTCTCTGACAGCTATTACTTCCAACAGATGTCAACACATTTTTAGATTTTCAAGCTAAGTTCTCACGCTCTGCTCAGCTGGTCACTTGGCTACACCTTGAGATAATTCATCCAGAAGTGTATACACACAAAAAGACAGGTTTTAGGAAGAGGAAGTAAGAAGAGGCAACTTTCCAGTTCAGTATTGCTTCTTTAACATACTACTACCACAACTTTAGTGCTATTAAGGGACAACTTACAAATAGGAACAAATTAAAATCTTGCTTCACCACCCAGAGTAGACCACATCATAATTTATATTGTAATTTATGATTTAGCATCTTGTTGATCACATGCTACTGCATTACAGATTTTTCTGGAAAGAGGATAAACTAGTGCATTCCTAATTGCATAATAGTCTCACTAATGTTTAAGTAAAAAACTTTCGTCACTTTTACAAGAATTAGTATGTGATCTGACAATCTGTTAAATCAATCTGAGCAGAGACATGTAAAAGAGAACATGGACTCTGCTAACACACTTTCAGCTTCTGTGTCCTTTATAATTAGCAACTGAATAGTACCATGTTGCCTTTAATTGCAGCATTGCCTAGATGGCTGATTCTGTGGAAAGTAAACCGACAGAATTAAAAGCCAGCAAATAAATTTCTTGTTCTGCAGAGGTATGTTAAGAGATTTTAATAAATTATTTGGACAGGACATCCTGAAATATTTCTACCCCTCCTGTCCCTTCCCCACCGGCCCCGGCTCGACGCAACCCCCAGGTCCCCGGTAGGCCTGGGGAGGGGTTGCCACATTTGCAAATAGTAAAGATAATATTACAAGTGGTTTTGAGTCAAAAACTGAAGAAGCGTTTCATGGTTATTCTGAACTCTTTGACCAACAATTTTCAGGCATCTTCCTCTGCTATTTGCCTATTTCTGCAAAATTCTCCTAGAAAGTTCTTCACCACACCAACCACAGAGTAATTATATTAGATAACTTTGAAGCAAGATATATTAATGCTGACTCCTTTGAGCTCTACAGTCACCCAATGAAACACAAAACTCCCCTAATACCTCAGTATGTTAGCACCTCTAATACTAGGCTTTAGAACACTTCTGAAATGGGCTCAACTCCCCAAAAAGTACTCTATAATGTAAAGATTAAAGGTTTAAACAAGTCTTGCGTTAGCTTTTCTTCATCTTCCCATCACAATTAATTCTCTTGATGCATTTTAACCTCTACTTGACTGTCATGTCCCAACCTGTTTCCGTTTTCCGCAACAGCCTCTCCATGCAACCCTACTTTCTACTACCTAGTTTTGTGTCCTTGCCCTGAAAGCCTCTGCCTGTTGGTACTATAAATGCTAGGAACTACTAGGATAAAAGCTTCTACCGTACAGAGACATACAAAGAACAACTCCCTTACGTCTATAGTGTGCGCCTAGGTACTATCAAGTACAGCCAAAGGCTGTACCTTTGGCTAGGTACAGCCAAAGGTCGCAAATATGAGGGGAAACACGGCACACTTCTTCAGCACTGCATGTGCTACCACCAATTCCAAGCAGCCTGGGCACCAGGCAGCGCACCGGAGACAGAAGCCCTAGGTCCGGCATGGCAGCACCGGCCCGCCGGCGGCAGCCTTCCCCCGACGCCTGGGCCGCTCTAGAGCACGGGTGACTCCCCACCTCACGCAGGGCGCAGGCCAAACCGGGAAGGGCGTCTCACACAGGGCCGGCCCTGCGCAGGCC